CCAGTCGGCCCTGCAGGTGAAGCAGTGGAGCTCACGGCCACTGACCCACGCACCCCGAAGTGAAGGAATTGACCGCAGCAGGGCCCCAGGAACGTGACTTAATTGCCCCCTGCCGCACTTAAAGGGCTTACGGACGGAACGGCGCGAGGGCTCCGGTCAGGTGCTTCCTCGTGCGTTATTCGGCCATGGACGAGGTTTGAAACCAGGTACCTGCAACCGCGGGGTGGGCCGGCAAGGCAAACGGCGAGTTTGTACTGGGTGTCCTCCCGTTTTTCTCGGCAGCCCAGAGTCCCAACCGACCTGGTCCTACCGGGGCGCTCCTGCCAGGGCATTAACAAGGCCCTTGCCGGCTGCCAATCAATGGAAGCTGCCAGCGCATGCCAGCCGGCGACGTTACACTCGCCTGCGAGCGGGAGCTCCAGTAAGGACCGCGGCGATAGCGCGCTGTGCCGCGACCGCAAGCAGCCCTGACCAACGGGCAACCCACGCGGCACGCGCAGCCGCCCGCATGGTGGCCTCCGTTGCCAAGTCATGCTGCCCGGCGAGCATCCGGAGCTCCAGTTGTGCAGAAACAGTAAGCCCATGTGCCGGCTTGGTTCAGCAACTGTGTTTCCGAAGGTGTGCCCCACACGACAAGACCCTGCTATGTAGCAGGAATTCGACCAGTCACGAACCCATACCGTGCCTAAATCGGATCGCGTCAACCACTAAAGCCCGGCGGCTCTTGGCCAGGCGCGTTCCCGATTTGCCCCGAACGAGGACCTTGCGGGACGCTCAACAGCAAGGTAGAGGAGAACGCAATCCTGCTCATGGTCGAACAAGGTTTGGAAGTGTGTCCCGAAGGCGGCATGCGCCGCAAGCTGCAGTGCGGCGGCGGTGCTTTTGGTAGCCGGCAGGTATCGTTCTGATTCGGATGGTTTGCAGGCTTATCCTCTGCAAGGAAATGTGCATAAAAATCTTGGGTTCACAGACATTTGTGTGCATTACTGGTGCCGACAGCAGCTATACCGTGCCAACGGCAAGGAACGAGGAAAGAGATCAGCGCGAAGTCGGTTCCACTCATGGGCAGGTGGCCCCACACCTCACGTGTAGAACTGCACATGAGCACAGCCGGAAACCCCCCCCTGTCGAGGCCGCAATTTTTCCTCCACTCCCCTTTTTTGCTGTCTCCGCGGTTCCTGTGCAGGTCGCCCCCAACCAAGGCCAGGTTACGTAGGCATGTCAGGTCATGTGGCTGGCAAGTGGAAGAGGGGGCCGATGGTTCGGCGAGAAGGTCAGTGAGGAGCGGAAGATCTCCGTCCACATTGGCTGCACCGGAAAGCGGTGCGGAAAGGAGGCCCCGTTTTGCCCGCGTGCAACGTCCGCTCTGGCCACGCCGCCGAGGCAAAACTCCAACATCTCCCATGCCATATCGCCGCGTCACGTGCGGGCGCATGAGGCGCCACGGCCGGCGGGAGCACGGTGTGCAGCGCGTGGTTGGTTCGCGGTGAGGCGCTCCTTGCGAGGAAAAGCTACACACACTGCACTGCAAATCAAGGAGCTGTAGGAGCTGGTGCAACAGTTCCTTCTCGGTCCTCATTCGCTGTGCCGGCCACGCTGCTACGAAGTGTGGGTGGTACATGGTACCTAACCTGAAACGGGGATGAAAGTATTATTTTGTTTTGCTCCTCATTTTTTCTTTTCGGCTTCTCTTCGCACCAATCTGGTGCGGACCTTGATGATACCTCGATCATTCTGGCCGCAAGCAGGATCACGAACAACGGGAATCTGCTAGTAGGAAGGTGCCACGCGTTTCCGAATTATCTACACCTTGCACGTTCCGAGGCGCACTTTGTGTAGCCCTGCTGGAAAGTCGTGCAGGAGTTCGCAAATGGCGCCCCTGCTTTTCGACCCGGGCGTACGTCCGGTCTTGCCATTCTGCGAGCTGTTGCTGATCCTGTTTCCGCCGGCTAAGGGTTTCTGGCATTTCTGATGACTCGCTCGGTTTCAGTTTCACTGGGGGTCTTCCTTCGGGAGTAGCGACGGTGTCGAGAAGCACGGAAGCGAACGGAACTACTTTCGACACTCTGGCTGAACCTGCCCATCCAGCCTGCACTGTGTCATCTGTGTCGCGACGTGCTTGGGGAAACGAACACTAGCGGGCAGCAACTACCACTGGCGATTCCATCTCCTCTATCGCGCACTCCCTGATGCAATCGGTGCAGGCGAAGTGGCGAACTGGTTTGGCGGCGCGATATGTGTCGACCACTACAAACATGGACGGCACACCAATCCGAACGATGATGCATCACACACGAACGAATTCACTTCGAGCATGTCGTCGAGGGTCGCCAGTCCCCTTTAAGCACCGCTCGCTCACGAACTTCCTTGTTGCACTCTCCGTCCAGTTCCCACGACCACGCAAGCACTGAAGTCATCTTCATCAAGTCAAGGAACGACCGGTGCGCACTCCCGATGCCATCGAAAAACGAAGGTAACGCCAACTGACTTGTGTAATGTTCCGGTTTGGCAGCCGCCTGCTGCTGCCCTGACTCTTGGCACTCCTGAACTCGTGACCGCCTTCTCTCGCAGGAGCACGATGAGCTGTTTTCACTGTTTTGTCTGTTTTTCCTTCACGCCTTTATAAAACAACTGCGAAGGGACAGGAGGTCCCAGTGCAAACTATGTAGGGACATAGTCGGCGCTCTGGGAGGAACCCATGTAACTCTGGCTCCGGCGCGTCGCCGAAGTCGGCGGGTCGGCGGCGGGGGGCAACTCAAACAGGGAGCCGGCAAACGTTCGCTCTGCGGCGACTGGCGGCGAGTCGGCTGGCGACATTCGCCCTCGTAAAGGCGGATTCGCGCGCGGTCCCGCACGGCAATGCTGACGCAAGGCAATGCTGAGGGCATCGTACAAGGCGCAAACGCGCTTCGGCAAGGCGACGATGTGGACTTCATCAAGGAAGGCGAACACGGCCTCACCCTCTCGGACCGTCTTCTTCCTGGCTCACATCATGCGCGCAGCCAGCGTCATCCCACACCATGCCTACACGCTCAGGGGAAAGTACAACTGCCGCGCGAAGTGAGGAGGGGGTGGAGCTCGTGTCGAGCCTGCAGGGCGCCGAACATCGCGCCAAGTGCAACATGGTCAAACCAGCCAACAGCATCAACAAACGGGACGGTGACGTGTGGGCATGCTTCGGTGGCAGCACGGAGCAGGCGACTGACGGCTTCGGTGCCGGTAAGGGTGCTGAGGCTGTAGTGATGTGGCATGCCCGCCTCATGGAACTGCGGCGCGAAGTGTTTGGCGAGCACACCGACGACGAGTGTGCGAAGCGTGCTGTTGGGTCTGCGCAACCAAGCGGCCGACTCAAAGGCCTTCGAAGATGACCGGGGGAAAGCTCAGCGCGCGGAGCTCGGCGAAGGTATCGTGCGTGCCGAACGCGAGCGGTGAATTCGGCAGTTGGGCAAGGGCCGCGGCGGAGACTACGGATGTGGCGCGCGGCGGGCCCGGGCGGCGTTGCTAGTCGAGCGGGTTGAGACTTGTTGATGTGGTGGCAATGACTTGAAACTGTATGCGAGCACTTTGTGCTGCCACGGTGTTGGGGGTTGGTTCCATGAGGTCTCCCTAAACTAAGCCGATCACCGCACATGTCTAAAGCCATGCGAGAAATCTGAAAGCCATGTTTGTTTGGTCTACCCCGCTTCCGAAGTCCATCATGCCATCGCGGCTGAAAAGTGCTATCATGGAATATATGTGTCCGCATGCAGGCCATCGTCCCGTGGAAGTTGCGCGATGCGCCCCGTAGAAGCTGTCGGCGCCAAAGAATATGATATGTGACAGTTCCTCGGTCCTTTCTCACTTCGAAGACAGGCCGTATACTTTCCCTGAATCCAAAACTCGATGCATGAAGCATTCAGCTCGCCGTGGCTCCAAACCAATCATGAGAGTGTCATCCGTATAGATCAAGTTCATTGACGAGTGCTGGTGGAAAATCATAAGCCAAGGTAGATTGGAACTCCCGGTCCCGAATGGCGTCTGTAAACAACACCGTCATCAAAATCGAAAACAGGAACGGAGAGAGCGGGGTCTGTTGGCGAAAGGCCAAAGCATTGAGGAGCTGTGAAAGTCCTGCCGCTGTAGCTTGCCCGGAGATGCCTACGAAATAAGATGGTAAACCACATCTCCCGAGCACGCCAAGCAAAGTGTCGGAGCGTCAGACGTCAGATCGAGCAAGCTCCGTGCTAGACATCGCATCAGCACTGCCGCGCTTGGTACGGAAAGCAAACTGCAGCAGGCGGTTGTTGCGCTCCTCTGCTCTGGCGTTCGGTATGGCAGCCGAGGGGCGATCATTTCCCGAATCTGCTTTGTTGAAAAATGCCGTCACTGAAGCTTCGTGCCAGGAAGATGGCAGTTTCGCATGCTCGCCGATGTTGTTGCAAAGCGTAGTGGCCCACCTGCATGTGGCCGACAGGCTGCAACACATAGCTCGACTCCTTTCTTTGCATGGTCAGGCTCCTTCTTTTTCGTCGCGTCGCAAACGTGAGGCTGCTACAACTCATCGGACCGTCGTTTGTCTATGAGATGAGCGCAGCCAAAAGTCAAGAGAGGCCCCATTGCAGTCAGGTTATGTCAGGTTCGTTTCAGCCGCCGGGGCGGGGGCCGCGTCGCGCGTTGTTCCTCTTCTTCTCTTCCTTCTCCCTCTGTGTCCCCGTCTCCGTTTTTTTGGGGGGGTCCCACCACCGGCAGCCTCTACTCGAGTGCCACGCTGCTGGCTCGGCAAGGGAGGCAGAGGGGGAGGAAGATCAGCAGGGGAGGCGTAGTGATAGCAGTAGGACTAGTAGTAGTCAGAAGTGACTCAGTAGTAGTCGCAGTAGCAAGAGCGCAAGAAGGGATTGGCTTCCAGGCTACAATCCCGGTGTCGTTCAAGACATCGTTCTGGAGTTTGGATCAGACACGAAGCGTTTTTTGTTTCATTCCGAATCCCAGGCGAGCTGCCGCCTCTGCGTAGTAACGTAGTATCACTTGCGCGGCTTCGACAGCTGAGCTGCCAGCTCCATGCTGTGCTGCATGTAGATGCCTGGAAACAAACTCTGATTCGACCTCCTCGCTTTGAAGCCATCCGTCTCAGAATGTTGACTAGATTTGATCAGCTACGCCTGCAATGCCCAACCTGCTATATACATGTGAAGTTTCTCAACTCCGCAGCCGGGGTGCGTCGCACGATCTGCTGCAGAGCATCTGGCGGAGTCACCTCTCCATCACCAGAAAATTGAAAAGGGTGCTGCTGCAGTGCACTCTCGAGCGCAAGATGAGAGAGGCGGAGACCCAGAGAGGATGTTTCTTCGACTTCCAGAACTTCGTCAGTAAGTCCATCAGATTCCACTCCAGCCTCCAGCCGAAGTGCGAGTTTAGAGGACTCAGAAGTGCGAAGAAGCCCGAAGAAGCCCTCAGGGCCCTCAGTGGCCTTTCAAAGTTCACCAGATCCCTGGCATCCTGCGAAAGGAGGGCAGCTCGGGCTGTGAAGGGCTTCAGGGCGGGCCCGTACATGCACCTTCTCGGTTTTTATCCGCGTGCACAGACTGAGCATCTCTCCCGTCTTGGAAGAGACTCGGAGCACCGAAGGACTCCCCGTTCTCACTTCAAAAGATGCGGAGACGCATTTTGCGTCTGCTCTCAGAAGGTCTCGGAAAGGTGGTCCTACGGGCCTGAAGAAGCGAGAACAGTCGAAGCAGTCGAAGGCCTTAGCCGCCCTGAGTCTGGCACATCACTGCGCCTGCTGAGGCCGAGGTCGCCGAAGCTGGGCAGCGAAGAAGGGGAGGGGGTGTGCGTGCTTGTCCGGTGGAGCTTTCTTCCCAGCTCTTCCCGGCCTTGTGCTGGCTGCGGAATTCGTCTTCAACCCTCATGGTATCACCTCCAGGCAGTTTCACGAAGCCTTCGCATGATGTGGCAAGTACACACCAAGTCATCGCTTCCAGCCGGTCGCTTGCTGAAGCCAAGTTGCGATAGTGCCGCCGGACCTCGGCCCATTGCAGAGGAACGTCTTTGAAGGAAGCGATCCCCCTTCTGGTTCCGGCCGAGGCACGGGGACCAGAGGCCGCACGGTGCAGCCGTCGATGTCGCTCGCATCCGTGGCAGAGCGGCCGGACGACCTCTCTCTTCGGGGCAGAGGCAGGGGCGGAGGCGCGCGGAGGCGCAGAGAGCTGCAAGCAGCGTTTGCCATGCCCGGGGCCTGTAGGGAGGCTGCGGGGGAACCTCGGAGGAGGCGAACCTGGCAGCCATGCATACATGCGACATGCAGCCCCGCGGCGAAGTCGCAGCTGCCATTTCTTGCTGGGCCGAGGGGCTGATAGCTCGTCGTGAGCAGATCCACAATGCACGTGGACCGCTTCCTGGGGCGGATCGTCCTCTGCAGAGAGAGGCGCGGACTTCGTCTCTCGGAGGGATCCTTTTGGGCCCTTTTCGAGCCCAGCGGCGGCTTCTTGGGCTGCGCGTAGTCGATGTCGGAGGTTCGCAGCGACAAGTCCTCTTCGAGAGCAGAGACTGAGAGATGGCTTGAGATGGCTTGAGCCCTCTCCTGCACTCGGCGTCGGAGCGGAGGGTAGACCGCCTTGGGGCCTCATCCGACAGAAACGAACCCTGAGCAAGAGAGAGGCCGCTCCTGTGTGGAGGTCCGGGGGGCTTACGCTTCGGGACTCTTAGCAGGCGCCCTTCAGCACGGCTTTGCGCTTGGATCCCTCTTCTTTGGGGGCGGCCGAGGGGCTGCTCCTGGGGATCGGCTCCGGCTCGGGCTTTGAAACCAGCTTCCAGGGGATGGGCATGCCTCCAAAAGCCAGGGGCTTCAGAGTGCCGCAGGCCAAAAGAGGGAAAACGGCTCTCCGCTCTCTTTATTCCAGAGATAAAAGATGCGCAACTTGCTTGCATGCACTCCGCGGTCGCCTGTGTGGCTCGTTGGATGCGACAACACGGGCTGAGCTCGTTCCAAGTCCTGCAGCTCGGAGAGAGTTACAGAGAAGCCAGACCGGCCCTCGCAGTGACAGCGCTGAGCTCAAGGCTTCCGTGACCAAGCAGCGGTCGTAGTCTTTCTTGAACAGCACCGGGCCTTGCAGGGCCGCGCGCGAAACCGCGTCCCAACCCTATACACTCCCAACTGTCCTGGTGGCACGTCCGACTTGTTGATCACATCCTCCGGTGTTTCGGAGTCAATGACGGCCAGCTACAATCGCGAAGAGCGCAGCCAAGGAGCGCGGCTCATGCACTCGTGCCTGGCGAGCACTCTGGCGTTTGCGTCCCCTGGGCGTGCAGGTGACGTGTGAGCGCCCAGTTCAAGCAGTGCCACGCAGTAAGCCCCCGGACGGGCATAGGGACAGTCCTTCAGCCGCTCCTGGAGCTCGGGATAGGAAGAGGAAGCAACTATCCTCCGAAGAAGGCTCTGCTTAGGTCTTAGGTCCTTCTCGGTCATCTCCGAGACCCGGGGCCGACCGCCGGCGGCCCCCAGCGTGGGGATCTCCTTCGGCGGGGTGTCTCCACCTCTGCCCCGCGCGCACGCGCACGTTCCAGTTTCTTTTCCAGAGGGCCGAGGCCGCCGCGGGACAAGCCTCCGAAGTAGACGCTGCCATGCTTGCCAGAGCCGGCCATGCTCCTTTGAGAGCCACGCGGGGAAAAGTGAAAGAAATGGAAGGTACGTCTCTCCGTCGCCTTCGTCGCTGGCGTCCTCGCGTGCCCGTGCCTTTTTGGTACCCATTCCCCAGGCTCGAGCCGAGGACTGCGGACTTGGGCCTAAAACAACCCTGCCGGAGACCTTCCCGCAAAAAAGGGGCAAAGGAGCGGCCTTGTAGCTCCGGAGCGTCTTCTTGCCGACCTGAGACGAGTGCTGAGCCCACCCTTCCAAGGAGGATCCGATAAGACCAACCGGCCTCTCCCTTGGAGACCTGCTGGGCCATCTTCTGCCTGCACTTGGCACTTGGAGAGCACTCGCAAGAGCCGCGAGGCCACCCCCAGCGGCGCCTGGACGCCTGGTCTGCCAGGAGCCATCGCATCCTCTTTAGGAAGGAAGCTCGCGGGTTCAGGAGTGTTTGGGGTCCGCGGTTTTGAACCGGCTTGGACGCCGGCATTGGGTGCTTGCTGCGAGCATTGCGGGACATGTAGTCGATGAAGATGCCGTTGGCGCCCTTGAAGCCGGCCTCTAAGCGAAGCAAAGGCGCGACTGCACCTCTGAAGCCTGGATTTGAGAAAGAGTTCAGAGCACTCCGCCTCCGGTCGGCCCTGGGCGGCCTCATCGCTCTCCTGCAAGGGCACACTTTCCTGCAAGAGGCCCAGCTACCAGGCTACAAGAAGGGCCGCCAGACCACCTCGTGCTCCTCCTTGCCGCCTTGGCCAGCGACCAGAAAGCGCCCCGCTCTTTGCACTACTCAAGGGAAGACTAGGACTCACTAGGAGGCTGCACCGCCCCGCTGCTTGCAGTCAAGGCTCTTATAGCCATGGTTTTACCATGAGGCTCCAAGCGGCCAAGCGGCGCCCGCAGCCCCACCCCTTAAGAGCAGGCACGAGACCCCTAAGGGGTTCGCGCGCTGCCGCTACGCCGCTACGCCTATATCCTAAACCCTGCGGCAATTTGTGGCCAAACTCGGCATGCTCTTCCATGGGCCGTGAGCTCGTGGCAAGCTGCGCTCTTTCCCAGCCGTGCTCTGCTCTCCATCCCCGGGCGGACCCGCGTTTTGGCGCCCGAGCCGAGCATGCGCGACAGTGGCGCCCGCTCTCCTCGTTAGGAGGCCGTCTGAGCTGCCTGACTTGGTACGCTGCAAAGCTTTTGGATGTACCTCATTCGAGAGCACACGAAGCGGCAGCAAGCTTCTAGCCAGCGTCGTCTCTTGCGCTTGCGCTTTGCAGCTCGCCTCTTCACCTGGCTTTCGTTCACCCGAAGCTTGAATCCCCGGACCTTGGCGGCGCGGCGACCCGAAGGCTTGCGAAGACGGAGCCGGTTTTGTTCTGGGGGAGGCACTTGGGAAAAGAGGAAGAAGACGTAGGCATTCAGTTGGTGACCTCGGGCACGTTACAAGTTGCCGTCACCACGGGAATCCATCTGGCTGGCCGGTGCCTACAGCTTCAGGCTCAAGTCACAGCAGGCTCAGGTCTCCCGGCAATTCTTGAAGGATCGCCAGCCGATCTCTTTGAACCTCAAAAGAGAAAGACAGACTCCCCACGAGCCAGAGCCGCTCTGCGACAGCTTAAAGCATCTCAGAAGAGCTTAGAATCAGAAGAGTCTCGGGGTCTCTGTCGTTATATCGGCCTAGCTTTACTCCACACTCCGCGCAACACAACAAAAAAAGCTGAGCCTCAGAGCTGCGTAAACATCGTGTGAACAGTGTTGTTCGGATCCATCGAGCACGCGCTGCCACGGTCCCCAAAAGCCTTTTGAAGCAAGAGTGCCGAATCGAGCTCCAACGGCCACAGCAGTGGCCGTGGCCGCTGCGAGCCGCCAGAAGGGGTCTGTCCTTCTGAGACTTGTAGGCAAAAAGGCACCTGCCTGTCCTCTCCTGTCTTGACCTCGCCTGACAGAGCCGGTTCCTTTCGATCCTTTTCTCTGCCGCACCCTGCGGTGTGCCGGGGCCACTCCTCTCGCGTCTGTTCGCCCTTGAGTTGCGGTTGCCTCCGTGCCGAGGGACGGCTGGACCTTGTGTTGCCTCAACATTCGGCTGTGTTTTGCAGCAACATTCAGTGTCAGCTTCTGAGCTTTAAACTTAAACTCAGATGCAAGATGCAAGATCACGTCCAAGTATACATCACACATCACGTATGTTGGCATTATCACTATCATGTTAATTGCTTCACTTGGTCTGATTTCCGCTGTTTGCTTCCTCTCTCTCCCTCCTTTGCAGAGTCTCGAGGTGACAGGTTTCGTCCTCGCTCCCTCCCTTCGCCTTCGTGCTCCTCGCCTCTCTTTTCCTTCGAACGTCGCTCTGGCTCGAAAGTCGGACAACAAACCGAAACAGGCAGGCAACTTAAAGATCATGTCAACCCAGCCAGGACAACGACAAAAGGAAGACGACACAAGAGAAGATCATCATCATCGTCATCGTCATCATGGTCATCCTCATCGTCCTTGTTGTCCTCATCACAGGCTAGGCTTGCACTCAGGGCTGAGGTTTGCTGTTGTGATGCTTCGGTATGCTTGGAAGATACGGTGCTCTTTGTCGCCGAGGGTGTGGCCAGTCGGCGAGTCGTATCGGTCGGTCCGAGTTGAAGGCGTGTGCGAGAAACGCCATGTAACCTCGAAAAGGTCCAAGCCGCTAAGGAAAAATGAACTGCAGCCTCTGGGGGGGTCCCTTTTTGAACGGCCGAGGCGCAGATCAGATTGAAAGCATCTCGGCAGCGCCTCAGTGCCGCCGTGCAGCAGCAAAGCTCCAGACATGGCAAAAAGAACCGCTCTTGGCACTCGGCTCACGCAGCTCCGGCTTTGCCTCCACCTGGCAGCTGAGCTCCTGGAAGCCACGGCCACCAGAAACACACTTCGGACTACGCCTTCGGACATATCTTTGGCCTCCAGGTACACCAGCGTTAACGCCAAATCCAAGGCCATGTCACAGTGGTGCACCTGCTGCAAGGTCTGCCGACTGCTGACAATGCAACGACAATACGAAGGATGCTTTGCTTCAACCATCTTCAACCACAACGATTGAACGCAGCGATGACTCACGGCATTGAGCCCGCAGAGAGGCGTGGTCATCAACACGCGAGCCATGGCTGCCTGGTAGCGGTAGAGGATATACGCCAGCGTGACGCTGATGAGGCGGTGGTCGTGCCTGCAAGGAGACAACAGCCAGGGTTCGGAGGTCAACAGCTGTAGCGGCCTGTATGCGAAGATCTCAAAGATCCCGAGCTTTGAGACGAGCTCATGAAAGTTGTAGGCAAGCAGAGCGCACTCGTTTGAGTACGTGTACCTGACGAGAGCCGCGATGCCCCGCAGACAGCGTGGAGGGTCTGCCCCGGTGCACTTGACGAAGAAGGCGTAGTTGCTCATCGGGACTTCTGCCTGCACCAGCGACGGGGGGGAATTCGATGGGGTGATGGTGCTCTTGAGCCCTTATACGAGTACCAGCTCCGGGACGTCGGGAGACCTCCCCGGGCCGGGAAGAGCTCGAAGAAGCCTCCGCGCTCAAAGCAGCCACCATCTTTTCTTTCAGAATGCTTTTGGGGGTAAACAAACCCAGCCTGTCTCTTGGCGTCCACTTGAGGATCCGCCTGAGGATGAGGGCGGAGAAAGCACGAGACGCTAGGAGTTGCTGTGTTCAGAGGCTGCCTTTGGCATGTCTTTCGGCTCGCTCTTTGCCGGCATGATGATGGCAAAGGGGAAGGATCCACATCAGCAGGAGCACGCGGTCTCTACAGACTAGGGTAACAGGATTGGAGGTTGATCTTCTACGAAATTGGACTAAGTCAACGGCGCCACCTGGCTCCGACTCTTGCTTTCAATGTGGCTGCTGGTGGAGAGCATATGAGTGTTGCGTCGGAATGTCGTTGAGTCATCTCTGCTTCAAGTCAGTCTTGATGCTGCGCCAGACCCAGACTGGCCCTCATGCTCCACTTAGTCATGACAGGCCGGCGGAGCACTGCTCTTGGGATCTTGGGTGACAGCCTGCTGCATGCAAGAATCAGTATTTTGCGCAGCCGCTCGACATGCTGCGCCCTTCTCAGATGGTTCGCCCCCCGCACGCCTCAGTGTCAAGGAACCTCCCTGAAAGACCGTTTCGTTACGTAGCACAGGGCACTGCGTTCGAAATTTTAAAACCATGGACGCATTCCTATCTTCCAGCAGTGCTGCGGGGCCGGGCCCCTTGGCTTCTTGGAAGGATCCGTCAGGCTCCCAATCATCAGACTTTCCGCTGAGATCGAGACTGATTGGCGCCTAGGGCCTCTCTCGGTGTGAGGTACGTCGGAGCCTGGAAGCGGTCTCCAAAGACACAGCTAAGGCACAGCGCAAAGCTCAACTCTCTCGCCTCTCTCGCCCTCTGTGCCCCTGCCGCAAGGAGCCGCTTCCTTTTCCCTTTTTTTTAAACGCTGTACAGGCAGGGCTCAGGCGCCTCGGATTTCAGCTCCAGAGCGGCTGCGGCTCACCGAAGCCCAAGGAATCGAAGAATGCGAACTCTGAGAGCTCTTGGGCTCAGGTGGGCTCAGAGGGGAAGTGTGGGGTTAGGGAACCCGCGGCATCCTGGCTTCTCAAGCAGCAGTCGCGCATGGCGGCTGTCGAATTCTCAGGGCAGTGGCATGGCGTTGACGGCCTAGTCAGGCTTGCTCCCTACATCAGGCTCACCAGTCCCTCCAGCATCGCCCATCTCCTTGGAAATCTTCGCTGCCTGAGATGCCCGGGCCAGAGCGATCTGAAACAGCCAACATGGCCACCAAAGGACTGCTCTCCAGCATGTATGCGTGTGTGTGTCTGTGTGTGGCTGAAAATTCCGTCCTGGGTCATGAGAGGGATGAGATGCGGTTCAAAGTCACTCCGGGCAGTGTCGCCTCCTCTGATGCAAGACCTGTAAAGAAATCATTCTAAACAACCAAGAGTACAGTGCTGGATGTATGTCGAACCCCCGCTGTCTGCTGCCCATATGTAACCAAGCTGAACGAGTCCGGCCACTGGCGCTGCGAGCAAACTGCTTTGCTCTTCTGGGCCCCGCTCAGTTGCTCCACGGTGCCCAAAGCTACACAAAACCAAGCGACCAACCAACGCAATATACCGCAATAACGTGCGCTGAAAAAGATGGGTGTGACCGTGTACATAGCATTGTGACGACCTGCCTGTCTGCCTATCCGTCTTTCTACTATCGACTTATCTATCTGTCTACCTGTCGATGTGTTTTCTTTTCTTTTCTATCTATCTATCTATCTATCCATGTCATGTATCTATGTATCTATCTGTCTACCCAGCTAGCTAACTTATCCAAGCTAATCTATATCCATCTATCTATCCGACTGGCTAGATATGTGTGCATTTTCCGGAACTGCACAGTATAAAACAAACTGATGGACGCCGTCGACGCAACGAACGCGATCAATTGCTTGCTGCAGGTGTCCGTTCATTTTGCGGGTGCAACAAATGTGAGACTGGGGCGAGGGAAAAGAAGGGGCACTTCTTTCAGATGCTTTAGTGAACAAGGTGGTGATGTGGAATTGCATCCTATTGCCAAAGTCGGCGAAGCCGGGTCGCATTGCGATCTTGCTCAGCGAAAAAGATGTCGAAGGCAGCATTGATCTTCTTTTCGGTCTGCGTGTCTTCTGGAGGAACCTCGTCCACCCCCCAAGAGGGCTTCGATGTTCGACGCCCACTTTTCTCCGTGCTCCTTGAGGCCTGGCGAGTAGACAAGAAGAGCTGCGGTGGGGAACTCGACAGGTAGAATCGGTATAACGGATAACCATCTGCTTGTGATTGTGATTCTTGACTAGGACCCGCCTGGGGCAGCGCGGTCTGCGGCACAGCCGAAAGCT